TGCGCGCGGTTTTCTTCTCATGCTTCCGCTTCTTCCTTGCGTTCTGGGCTGAGGCTTTGTGCTTTAACTAGCCTTCAGCATTACGGCCGGGTGTCTCGCCCCGGTACACTGGAAGCAATAGTTCCTTCTCGGTAACTCTGGCGGGTTTCGGGACCTAGGCGCGGGTTCCTGCATTTTCCTGAAGCTGTTGGTTTCTTCTCTTTCCTTCGGAAGTTCCGAGGTGTGAAATTTCCTGCCTTTCCAGATACTGGCTCCACAGTGATACTGGATCTTCAGGGTGCTCCGCTACCAAGTTAAACGATGAAACCCGAAGCAGACACGGTTTTCTCCACGCTTGAACCTAAATCGCGCTTGTCGGTCAAGGGGTTATTCACACTACTCACTACTCTACCGTAGAAGCTGTCGATACATACCCATCTATACCAAACTTAACATTTCCAGAGTGTTGAGAAGAGTGAAGAAGACAACCTGTTCACGTCGACACCCCGGCTTGTCACAATGTGATTGTTGCTGTGCGTGGCAATGGCAAGAAACTGGGGCATGACTCTGGGTGATGTCAGCACTGCCTTCTTGCATGCAGCAATACCTGGTGAAGCGTTCGCGTGGCTACCGAAATTTATCCGTATCGCAAATGCCTCTGGAAACTGACGAATTCACGAAAGCCGTGTGCGGATTCAGGCAAGCACCCAAGCTGTGGCAAGAACGCGTCGCTGAAGTAATTTATGTGCGCATGTGCCGATGATCTGTTGGTCGTAGAGACTGATGAAATCAGGAAGGATTTCATGTCCTGATTGTCTGAAAAAGTGTTGCTCAAAGAGACTGGCCAATTAATGCCAGGGACTGAGCACACCTTGCTTGAAAGAAGACTGCGACACACGGGAGTCTCGATTCACCCATGTACAGGGAGAGCTCCATGACTCTAGCCAAACCTGCTGCGACGACTGGAACCGTTGCGATCAGCAAGACTGTGCCTGACACGCCACTGAGTCCTGAAGAACACTTAGTGTATAGTGTATAGGACTGCAATTGGAAAACTGTTGTGGCACCGTGTCGCAACGTTGAAGCATCTTTTGCGGTGCTTGATAGCTGATAGATACGCATTAAGTTGAATCTTGAGACTGCGTCCAAGCTATCAGTTGTCCGATGGCAGTTGTGCCTTCAGACTAGGCTGGATGCTCACGCACACGGAAGAGCACCAGCGGATCAACTGTGAATGTCCTTGGGTGCAACATTGGAGCACTGCTAGGACTCAAAGCACACTGGCACTGTCGTCAGGTGAAGCGGAGGTGTATGCGATTGGCCAGTGAGTGTCGAGGAGACTGTTCGTTAGGTCACTGCTGCTTCAAGCGAAGCTGGCAATGAAAGTCAATGTGATTGCCCATGCAAACTCAAGTGCTGAGCATTCAATGGCAACCCGCTTCGGCACTGGAAACAAATCAAAGCACGTGGAACTGCGGTTCCCATGCGTGCAGAATTCGGTGCAAATGGGTTCGCTTCGAATAGCTCAGATTGAAGGCACACGGAACCCGGCTGACCTAATGACCAAGTATGTTGCCACTGATGTGTTGCAAAGATTGTAAACCCAACTGGGGGTGGTCTCTGATACTGATGAGCATGTTGCCGCCCTGAATGCTCAATGTCCTCCGCACGCCCCGCCACCACCCTTCCCTCGCGCGCACGCGCGAGCCCTCCCGGGGATTGATCGCAGCCGACTTGATTTGGAGCGTTTTCCCTGCAGGCAGCTGAATGGCTCCTTCAATGCCCTTTCCGCAATGCGCAGCAAGACTGTGCAACGGCACAGCCAAGAAGCCTTCGCAAAAGAATGTGGGAATGAACCCATCGCGTTCGTGGTCCGCCGCAGAGAACGGAATGAAGCTGTTCGCAAGTGGATACAGTAGCGAATCACTAGTCTTCGAAGTGAATGAAGCTCGAGAACTTTTTCAATAGGCAACTCATTGACCACATCAGAACCCGAAAGCCAATGTCACGGCTGGCGATGATGATGTTGAGCTGCCATCACTGCTGAATGGGAAATGCCAATGGACTCCATGAACAGCTTGGGCATCATCCGAACTCCCAGGAAGGACGTCATGAGCCAAGGCCGCTTTGGGCCAACCCTGTGCTTGAAGGAGATGATGGACTAGCGGGCAGTCCACGAATTCAGGCTCGAGTGCCCGCGACTGTCCTCTCCCAGGTCACGAATGCCCTGAATCCCGGAGCTGAGATTGTCCTTCGAATGAACCATCAGGTCATGAAGTGAATGTCGCAATGAGCCCGGCATTCATGAAGGAGTGCCTAGGAATGCCGCATGTTGTGGTAGAGAAAGGTCCTCGCTAAAATGTTGACTGGGTTTCTTCTGTGGATTGCAGAGAATGAAGTGCCGACTGGATCGACACCCGACTCCCCGCAATTGCCTGTGCAGTGCAATGTACCTTCAACCATTTTACAATGACTCGAATGTCGACCGAGTCCAGCTAGGTCCTTTCTGAGCTCAATGTAGACTGAAGCTTCCAGCTGTTTTTCGAAGCACTGGACTTGTTCGATGCCAGCACACACGATGCTGTTGCTTCGATTGTTTTTTTGACCGCTTCGCGATTTTTTCTATGTACCGTTTACTTTTTGAATAATCCCCGACTGAAGAGAGGATCAAGGGACTGTGTCAAATGACACGAGAATGCCATGAGGCACAAGACTGGACAGACTGCTTGGTCGCACAAGGGAACGTCTGCTTGACTGTCTGAGGTTGAAAGTGATTGATCTCAAGGTTGCTCGTAGCTGTCGAGAAGTCTCGATTGTAACAGTGATGCCATTGCATCGACACTCGTCACCGACAATTACAAGCTCACTCCAAGCTTCCCACGCCAAAGTCCGGGCATCGCCCTTGTGACCCAAGCGGCCAAGGGCCACCACAGCCCTCGCCCGAACGAAGCAGTCCTGGGGTAGGCAAGTTCCACGGGTCGCCTTTCTGGGCAAACGACATGACATTCTGTCATTCCTCGTCAGCTAAGCGGAGGGATACTTTGGACACAGCCACCGCATCCTTGCGCAAACGGCTTTTCCAGCCCATAAAGAAGGCCACTCTCAGACACGAGAAGAAGGAATCGGCAGACCTCTGGCTCTGCCACCTCAGCGACGGCATCCACAGCAGCCTCTGGAACAGACATCAGCACGTAAGCCAGTTACATGAGTCACGCAATATTTTCTGGCTATCCGCAGCATTCAATGGCCCCTCGCCTCCCGCACGAAGATGTCCTCGTCCTGTCAAAGCTGCAAGAAAAGATGCTCCAGGCACCTGCTCGCACATCCACCTCGAGATGCTTGTAGAGCAATGCCAGATGGTTTTCCTCTCCACGGTCTGCCACCTTGTGCGGCTTGAGCAGACCAGGAGTCAGCAAAAGATCGAGATTTTGTCGTAGAAGTGCCAGGGTTGCAAAGCTTCCCATCTCAGACTAACTCGAGTGCACGTGCCAACTACAAACTCGGTTTAATTTCCGTCGCGCAGCGGCCCTGCTCACACTGAGCACGCGCAACAGCTCGTTGGGGTCTGTGGCTTAAGAGGCGGTTGCGACACGTTGCGACAGTCACAGCAAAGGCTCGGTATTCACTCAAAAGCCCGTCGCGCTGCTCCGCCAGCGTAGGTCTCCGAATATTGGCCACTAAGCTCTAGTGGCTCTGGTTCAGTAGCAGTAAGTTCAAGAAACTGTCCAGAACCATTCTTCTTCCGGTGCCGGAGGCTCGACCACTTATGTCGGGCAGCATCCGGATGAAGTCAACATGCAATATTAATGTGGTTGCTTCCCCGGCATTCCCTCCCGGGAGTGCTTGGGTTTCTGACGGCAGCAAAACCCGGCAAGGTTGGCTTCGTTTAACTTTCGGGGCCAACTATGGCCAACAAGTGTACTGTCAGACAATATGGCGATCCACCAGTTCCGAAGTCTTGATCTTCACGGTACAGGTTCTCACTTGGTTAAACTTGCTGACCTCTCCGAACTTAACACCTTATCCCCCGTACCGCCCCGACCTGCCATCCTGGACCTTGAAACTTGTCCTTTGAAAGAGTTCAAGCCCACAGCTGATCTGCTTCCCTGCTTCCTCACAGAAGAGAAGCGAGAAGTGCAAGCAAGGTTGGGCCTGTTTAAGTGCGTCCACGGCCGTCTTCCTGGCGAACCAATCCTCGTCCTTCAAGAGCTCCCGGCAGGCTCCCAGGGTCTCGCAAGTGTGCCAGTGTGGATCGCTGAAACTCCTGCCTTTTCACTTTCAATGGCCTTGGCATCCCCACGTGGCGCATCTTTTCCAAAGCCATCCAACCGCTTCCGATGCCTACAGGAAGGGACGGGGAAGCGAGAAGAGAGACATGGATGCGACACCTGACCTGTGCAGCTCCTGCGCCCTGGACACCACGGCACTTCGGAGTGTGGTCCGAACAAAGGCAGCATTGGCCTTGTGGGGTGGAGGGGGTGGAGTAGCAGGCTGGAGCAGGCAAGCCAGGCAAGCTGCTAGCCCGGTGCCTTCGGTAGAAGCGCGCGTCCCAAAGCGACGAACCTCCAGAAGCTGGCAAAAGAGAACCGAAGGATTGAAAATTCCAACTCTCAGCGCAACATGGCCACGGCGCCTCATCTCTCTGCAGGCTCCGACTCCATTGCTGCTCCGAGCCAAGGTCTCCGAGGGGACTCCTAGGACTCCTAGGCATGAGGAGCTGTTCAGGCTCCTGTCTTGCGAAGGGGTCTCTCTCTGTATCTCTCTTCTTCGCGGCCACTCACGCGCCACTCGACTGCGGCTTTTCCGACCAGATTTCCTTCGTTGAGTCCGGTCGGCCGAGCCCCACCCAGAAAAGTCGCCATTCGCTTAAGCGGACTTTGGGCCATTGGAGACACACATATGTATCTACATGTACACTATGTGACTATGTGCTAGCAAGTGATCCAGACTGTGGAGCGCAACCTGGCGTGTAGCCGAGTTGAGCTGTTGCAGGAGGCTCGGCCAAGCTGAGACGTGAAAACTCAGGTGCCGTACTTGCCGGTGCGGGAGGGCCTGGCAGTGTTCTAATTCTAGCATCGGCTTATGCAGATTAGGGAAGAGTCTCCTGTGTTGCAAGGTTGCAGACCCCAGACGCCTCATGCGATACTTGGCGATGACACGGGTCTCGTAGTCGCTTCGCTGGTCCACCTGTTGCGTTCCCCCACATGACAGGGCAGCAAGAGCTCCCGTACTGTAGTCCCGCAGTGCCTTGCTCGGGTCGTACTCCTCCTCGTTCCAGTCCGCCTGAGAGACCCGCGAGCGAGAGGCGGACTGGACAGGCCGGACACGCGACACGAACGGTAAAGGGGCCGGCAGGGGAGGAGAAGACATCGATGGACTTTCCAAGGAGATCCCGAGCGCGGGATTCGGAGACATGGATCAGAAGACACCCATGATCGCCCATGACAAGAAGAATTACAAACCCTTTGCGAAGCAGTTGCAAAGGCCGACGGTTTCTGTGAACCCACACGGCTCTAGCTTGGATGTCGTGGAACGAGATGTTAGAATGATCAACAAGGCAGGCATTTCCAGGCTGTCCTGCTCAAAAAGAAATTACAGGTCCCAACCCTTTCTTGCCCGAAGTGAGCCACCAAGCCTCTGCAGAGGGACGTATGCAAGCTGCAGCAACTTTCAGAAGCAAGGTTCTGGGCTTCCCACAAGCCGTGTGCGCTCCGAGTGTTTGTGATACTTGACGCGCCAAAGGAATCATTCAGACAGACAAATGGACAAACGAACAACGACAAGACAACGGTTGGGTGCCCACGAAGAGCTGCTGTAGATGTGCAAAAACACGAGTGTCGGGCCATGTCCTGCTTCCAGACAGGGAGGGGATACCTCGCGCAAATCGCATGTCGAAAAGCGCGAGGCGGCACAATTGCCACGGCGCACGTGTCCCACTCTTGCTGCGGATACTCTGGATCTGGAATCTCATCCTCGCGTCCATCCAGCCGGAGGTCGGCATACCTAAACTGAACTTCATGAATCAAACCGTCGATATAAATAGCAGAAAGAATAGATGTTGCAGGTGCCTCTTGTCCATTTCCGTGCGTTCCTGCGTCTGGGCATGAGGTGCCGTGATGGGCATGCAAGGTCACACAAGAGGACGCTGCGCCTTGTCAATGGGGATGATGTTCCTCTTGCCAACCATACCGCGCAGAAAGTACCTGAGAGGCCATGCGGAGGGAAAGAGCTAGCTAGGTTGAAGGCCTGCAATGGCGAGCGCACGCATTCTTGTTGCGGCCAATGAAGCCTCGCCTCATTACCTGAATCCTGGTGATAAGTGGTGAGTGCATGGGGAACTGGAACTCGTAGCCCACCTTGAGAGCAGTCAGAGCAGAACCGACGGCCTAGCAACTTAATGATCTTCGCCGACCGAGCTGCCGGCGGAGGACAAGCCCTTGCCGATCATCGCACGAACCGTCATCGTGCGTGCGTGGTACTCCCCCCTGATGGTGCACGAGCCAAGCAGCACAACTGCCAGTGCGCGGCAGGGGGCCCAGGCCGGAAGTTCAGGATCGTGCCATCAAAGTAAGTCTCACGCAGCTGGTCCTTGGACAATCGAAGTCCTCGGACCTCCTGAAGGCGGAGAGCAGTCGCAGTTCTCCTGCTGCACTCTCTCCGCTCTCTTGTCACGCTCGTCCTTGTCGCCGGAGCCAGGTTTGGCCTCCAAGTAGTACACGCGCACCGTGTCGCCCGCCTGCAGAAAGGCTTCGGCTGGCCGATCTGCACACCCTAAACCCCTTCTCGATTTTTTTCTTGCCTGGAGCCGGTGTGGGAAGAAGTCCACTGGCTTCTTGTAGATGTCGAAGAATTTCATGTTCACCTTGCATGTTTGTGGCAAGGCTTCCGCCACTGCTACGAGCTCGCATCCTTGCCTTGTGGCGGTCAATGTGGCGGCGTTTGTACCAAGCTTTCGGTGGCTCCTTCCCGGTGTGGCTGGAGATGCATAGTCCGGCTCTGGCTTACTTGCCGTCCTCGTCGAATGCATAGTCCGATTTCAAGGCCTGAGGCCGAAAAAAGTGGAAAGTTTGGACCTATCTTTGCCGGGTCGTAACTCTGTCGAGCGGCAGCGTCGGACTCCTCATCATCGAACTGCCAAGTCAGGCACAAACATGGCAAGAGGGGCACGTGAACCGCGTCAGTGCACCTCCTCGTCCTCGTCCTCGTATTCCTCTTCGTCAACCTCGTCCTGGTAAGGGCTGGCATGGCAGTCTCACAAGTGCGGGTCTTGTCGGCTCGGTAACTCAGGTCAGGTCCAATGCCTTCAGCGAGCTGGTTCGACAATCTTGCTTAAGATAGTGATTTGGCAGCTTGCACTGCAGCCCGCACCTCGTTGTCTGGCTCCGCTCGCCGCACAGCTCGAGGGGCCTTGTGTACATTCAGCGGCGTTAGTTCTCCAGATTCGTTCGCAAGCTTATGGTGTTTCCGCCTTGCCTCTGGCCGCACCCCCAGGGACGTCCCAACGAAAGCGTCGCCGGGCCTCTGTGCATAGGCGTGAGAGTGCGAGGAGAGATCAATCACTAAGTTCACTCGCCTGAAGACTAGCGCGAATGGCGCCAGCAGCGCAACTGCCACCAGAACCGGGAAGTGCCGTGCCTCGCAGCTCAATTTAGCTTCCCTCTTTGGCTCATTCTCTTCCTATGCCCCAACTTTGGTCGCCTTGGCCATGGCGCAGGCGGTGCAGGCAGCGCAGCCTGCGCGCAGCACCCAGGCTTGCCCGAGCCGCTACGCTGAGCAGGAAGGCGGCCAGCGACGACAGAAGCCGTAAAAGGCAAGTGGGAGACCTGGGCCCGAGGCTACCTGTGCCCCACCCTTCGTGGCCTATAAAGACACGGGCTTCTGGCTTCAAAGTGGGTTTACTTGCAACTTCCCGGCCCCAAGCCTGGAGTCAATCACCAAGAACTCAAAAGGGGTCGAGTGACAGCACAGCTCCGCACAGCATGGTCGCAAAGCAAGCACAGTGCTGTTTCTGACATCATCGATGCCCCTCCCTGCTGGAGTCCAGCTAAAGCTGAGCAACTACGGTGGCATTAACGAACGAAGCCAGACTGGTCATGCAGCATCCCTCCAGGGCGTGCGACACGCCTCTCGGCTCCATACAACCTCTAGCAAAACATATTAAAATCTGGACGAGAAGGATCAGAACACCTCTCGTCTCACAATATGCGGATCAGCGCTGTACATGCCGTACATCCGCTCTATATCCCTATCTACAGCTGGGACTGAAGGTTGCATCTCGGAGTGAAAAGGAGATGGGGAAGACTGCTCGTCCCGACGCCTGAGGATCCACTGTTTGCTAAGAATGCTATGACATTATTTGTTTGGTGGCATCGAACATCAGTGAACAACATCCGGAAAGTGCTCCGGGCACCCAGGGCTCAATTTTCAGGACTACGAGACGCTTGAAGCCCAAGGCGTGTCTCTTGCAGGCGAGCGTCACAAGGTATGCCTCAAGACATGAGGGTGCACTCTCCAATTACAAGAAATAAAGGAGTAGAAATAAGCTATTACGGTCAAACGTACGTAGGATTGAAATTATCAGTCGCTTTCCCCGCCCGAAGCAAACAACCAAACACCTGAATGCGGAACGTCCACGCTCATGCCTTTCCTTGTTACCTTGTTGCCAGCACCACACAAGCGCGAAGGCTTGCAAAGAGTGCGAACATCGGGTCAATTCCAGCATCCTATGCGGTAATACGCTCGCTGACCTGCTGAAGGCTGGCGGCTGAAGGATGCTCGCGCGGGCATGTGCGACAGATCGCTCACTCTCGTGCGGAAGCAACGGTTCGTTGTGCAGGGTGGACGCTTCTGTTAGTGAGGCCACACATTGAGAGATGCTGGACCATGCCTTACTGTCGTGCCGCGTCGTCATGCCGAGCCAAGCCAAGCTGCCTCCAAGAACTCTTGCTTTTGCAGAATGTCCTGAACCGGCATGAACTTGCGGCAAAACAAAAACTACGCAAGAAGCACCGTCAATCCTGCAGTGTGTACGCAAGGCTGGTCATGTCCGAATCTGGATCTGCGGTCCGGCCCCAGTTGCCTGTGCTGTATTGCATTGGTTCGGCGTCATTTGCGACAAGAACGTATGACGTATGGCCTCCTGTCATCTTCAGAAAAACTCTCCTTAGCATGCTTGATGAAGAACTGGATCAGAGCTGTCATAGCTGAGGTGCAACTACAGTTCTGCAATTCACCGGTGGGGCATCATATTGTGAGGGGCTCTCTCTCCAGACAAGAATCTGGCCAACAAACTGCAGCTGGCATCTCGAAACGCATGTCAAGAACACAAACCTGTTTTGCACCACAGCAATGAACTCTGCCATCTCAGAGAGGTCGACTGGGATGACCTTGTCCTTGCATTGGGAAGGGGTGCGTGCTATCTTGGGATCAGCAAATCGTGCAAGAACAATGCAAAATTGGCTGCAGGAAGGGCGCCATGTTTGGCATTGAGTCTATGCTCGAACGCAGATTGCTCAGCAGATCTACCAAGACACCAAGTAGTCCCGCAAAGCCCACCGTGTGGTTGGCCTTGCAAGGCGTGTGAGACCCCTTGGTCTCTACTGCTGGAGTGCCCGCCAGTGTTGAGTGTTGGCTCTGCATCTCGTCGTGCCTTCGCATTCGCAACGCAGTTTGGCAAAAACTCGAGCATGAAGGCTTGCTCCTGCAGCTCACAGCTGCACATTTAATATGCCGTCTCGCATGCCCTGCATGTGTTGGAATGGTCACCCCATTAATCGCCCGCCTGAATGCCATCTGCTAGGAAGTGATCTATCAAGGCCATTCGCTCTCGGGCTTTCAATGCATCCCATGATGTTCGTAGCTGCAGGTAGTCTTTCTCGTCTTGGACTCGTGCCAAGCATGAGAGGCGAACGAGCACGAGGTCCTTCCCAACACATATAGCAAGATCGTGTGAAGTCACTTTTGCGACATCTGCAACTTACAGTCCTCCGCAGAACTGAAGTTCAAGTTCAATTTGCGGGCTCTCTCGTCCAAGTAGCCCCAATAAATCGCAGCTGGTGGGCACTCCATGAGGCGCTTCAGCAGACGAATGCCACTGATGACTGCAGATGCATTCCTCGGAAGCTTACACATCAGATGTTCGCAACAGCAGCAGCAGCAGCAGACTTCACAGCTGCCTTAATCGTAGCTGCCGCGTGTCTTGCCGTTCATGAAGCGAGAACCCGTTCCTGCTGCAATGCCACTCATGAACCCGAGCAGGAACAGGATGTAGAAGCGGAACTGCTCTTCACCTGAACGACACCCAATGCTTCGATTCAGCCATGCAGACACAGTACCATGTCTTGCTGCTTGTGGTGACGACTGAGACGACGACTTTTCTCCTCTATGCACCTGCGCAGTTGCACAATGTTTGCCGGAAGGTTTTCGCCCTGCAACATTTGGGCAAGGTTGAAGAGCTCATGAATCTCGAGGGCATTCTCAATGCACTTCCTCGGTCGCTCGCAACATTGATTTATAAACGCAATGAGTTGTTGCAACCCATCTTTGCGCCGGCTTCGCTGAAAAGACATGACATGAAACCATCATACGACGACATGGCGCACACTGTTTCGATCCTCGAAATGCTATCTACATGTATACAAAGATAGGTGAGTCTGTATATGAACACACCCCCCCATGACCTCCTTGGCGGTCTTTTCCAGTGTGCATACCGTTACGCTCCGTGGGAGGGAAGCTTCTCTTGCATGGTCGGCCTTTATGCGCAGCTGTATGATGCTTACCACATCGAAAAAGACATAGCAAAGGAATGTTTTGTACTCGGCATTTGGGGGTGTGTATGCAAATAATCACTGAGATTAATGGAAGGCTGCCGTTTGGAGTTTGGGCCGAGGGTTTTGGATCGAGTTCCCGTAAGGAACATAGCTAGATGCCCAATGCGAACAGCGTGAGATTTGCAGCCATCGACAGCGCTCCCCCCCGCCTAGTTAACTCATTTTCAGGAAACACCTTGCGGACCTTTGCGCGTCGTGGCAAAGCGAAGCCAACACGGCGAGCGAGCTCTGCAAGCGGCGCCCGCTGAGATGGAGCGTGGGACCTATATACGAGCAGCGCGGGATCAAATCTCAGCCTCCAGAGGTGTGTCCCACAGCCTGCCCACAGCAACGTTGACGAGGGTGGGTCGGGATGAACATAAGCAGGTCACCAAGGGGCCGTAAGCACTGATGCCAAAGTGTGGCAAAGCTTGTGGAGCACTGAATGTCAAAAAGAGCCAGCGAGTCACGATTGAGGTCGGCCTGAACTGCAAATGTGGAGTCGTTCCAGATCCAAATCGTCAATCCTGGAGCACAAAACTTTGGTGCGTTGTGCCAGGGTGAATCGATTTGGCAGAGACCGGCAAGTGCAATGGTAAGGGGCCTTCTTTTCAAGCATTCGCAACCTGTGCAAATTCCAGATTTGAGTATTTTCAGGATTCTCACCATGGTACCAGCTGGCTTTCCTACCAGTTGATAGTCTTGAAGGTGGGCCTCATCCAGTGATTACCGACTCGCACCTTTTCGGCGTCTGCCTTACTCAAAGTTAGCCACTCCCCACGAAGAAGCAGTACCAATCACCCGAATGCGATCTTGGTGGAGTGGCAAATACAACTGGCATGCCCACCACAGACACCGGCAAATCAAAGGCAACAACCGCTCGGTCACACGTGGGGACCAACGGAGTACGAGCGACCGAGCCGACCGTTTCCACCCCATGGAAAACTGCGTCGTTGTTTGATCGGTAGCCTCGCACACCCAGGCCAACAGAACTTCGTTCCCGTTGGATACTTCACATCCGCATAGGTCGCCAACGTGTCCCGCATGAGCGGCCACACAAGTGAGGCAGTGCCCGAGCGGCACCACTGTCCCACTGGCAACATTTGGAACCCAAAAAAGGGCATGACCTGCTCCCGTTGCGTAAGCCGTGAGCACGTTGACGGAGCCGGCGAGCTGACCGGCCAGTCCCGAGCGTCCAGAACACGGGAAGTACATCTGATCGTATCTTGTCTCATGCGACTACTATACTATGCTGTACTCTATATAGACACAGGTTGCTACTGCATTACTGATCATTCCCATTACAAAAAACAAGTGAGTAAGCCCAGCACGCCCCGCGTTCAGATAACCACCAGACGGACGGCACGACATTCTTCTCGCCTCAGCAAACGCAGAGTTAGGGAATCCCTTGGCATGAATGTTTGATCCATATGTGCATCCGTGCGCGACGCACTGTCTGGCGCAGTAAGTCATATCGCAGCAGCACGAGAATGAATACACGCAGCATGAATAAAACAGCAAGCCGTCTGGGGCGGGGGTGACTCAAGCTACTGCAGAATGCTGCCAGCTTCTACATCCTTCTACTAATCTTTCAACCGCAGGCCTGACGATGCAACAGCCAGGACGGACGACAGCGCAGCCAGAGGAATAGCTGGGAAATCTGATTGTTAAATGCACGAGCACGACATTAGACTCTTGTGCCATGCAGGACGGCTGCAGTGGGTTATTGCAAAGACTGAAACATATCCCTGCACCACTGCCTGCGCTGGCTTGTAATTGACTGAGTGTGGGTATGGGCAGGCGGGAAGGCGGCCAGGCGACGGCAGGCGGGCGGGCGGGCGGACGGATGTATGCGCATTTGCGCCCGATGGGACCACAGCCGCTCTGCATACTCTGCATATGCCACTCCCAAAGACCCTCATTTGAAGCGGGGTCGCTGGCCATAAGCTGAAGTATTGCCTTCTCCGGACGCCTCATCTCTCGTGGCATCTGCTGCAGGACAGCTTTGGACTTTCCAAGCGCGCGGATGGCCAGCAGAACCTGCAGAACGGCGGTGCGCTATGTCCCTCAAGATCAAAGTGTCTCGGCTCAGGTCCCGGCCATCACGGCCTGCATATGCTCGACGTCGGGATCCTTATCAACGACCACTCTGCCAAGATGCCGGGGGCAAGCTTATTGCAAGACAGGCATCTATCCAACTCAGCAGAGACTGTAGCTCCAACCACTGCGTCTCATCCAGCCGTTGATGAGGAGCCTGTGGATGTGTAAAGATGTCGTAGCGGTTCTTGAAAAGTGCCAGCACGCTTATGCACGAGGACTCTGCCCTCTCTCTTTCAGCCGGCTGCTCAAACACCACGTGTGGACTGTGTTCGAAGTGCAGCTCGGGAATAACAAGCTGTAATTCTTGCGTCAGCTTGTACGTTTCCATGGCACGGACCCCCAAGCTTTTCAAGTACAAGTCCAAGCCGGGGTTGATGTGCTCAGCAGAAACATCGAGGCGCGGCCACAAACTTGTAATCGAGGCATCTGGATGAACTTCCACATGCTCCACGTTCGATTCCGCGCATCCGGGCGTCGAATTCCCCAGCTCCTGGTCCTGGGCTGCCTGGGCTGTGGCATCTGTCGGCCTTCCTGGCTTGCGGATGAAGCGCAAGATTGAGAAGCTCTTGGAGCTAGTAGCAGTGGCATCGCCGCGTTTCAAAGGGATTGTGATGTTCTTGAGCTGTGTCTTTGGGTCTGGATAAAGCTCCAAGTAGTGTTGGTTTTTCCTGCAACATGTCGCGGCGCAGTGAACCTGCTCTTCATCTCCACACTTAGTCTTGCTGGTCTGCATGGCAGACACGAACTCCTGCAGCAATGCCGGTAAGCAAACCCAGCGAGCTACAACAACATGCGCACTGAAAATTCTTCATTCGACGCTGCGAACGTGTGGCAATGCATTTGTGCGGGCATAAAGCCTGATCTACTTCCCTCCAGTCTCTAGTTGGTCCTTGGCATAATCGCAGAACATGGTGGTGCCTGCCCACAGGGGGACGGAGTGAACCGAACGAAAACTAACACTACGAGTCTGCCATCGTCTGCCGAGGCACAGCCGCGCGACTGGGCCACGCAGCGTGCCAGGTCCGGCCCTCGCAGGGAGAAGGTCTCGCAGAAGGTCTGCGCCGAAAGCGTCGACCTGAGAGCGCAGGGCACTGCAGGCGCAACGGTGAGCACCGAGCGCACGGGCACACGGGTTTTTGCAGAAGGGCCCCGGACTGATGCAAAGTACCGTCGGCATAAAGCGACAACTCCCCGAACCACTTGGTCCCTGTAAACTCTGCAGCGTCACCTTCGGCGTCAAAACCTGTCGGCACCACAAACTTCTGGTTCGAAACATGGTACATGCTTGAGCTCGAACGACGGTTGCAAAGTTCTACCGGGCTGCAGGCGTCCACCGATCTGCCCCGACCCTGCGAAGCTGGGCTGGAGTAAAGCATCATTTTGACACTTGATCCCGCAAGGCGCCCGGCAATCCGACTTGCCGCAACAAGCCTTTGCCGTTCCTACGGTGTGGTTCGATTCCAGGGCTCTAGGTCACCTGTGCATTTTGGGGGGATCGTTGCACCAGGCTCTGGCTTCATATGTACTTCGCCGTTTCCGCGTCACACGAAATCACAGAAATCCACCCAACATGCACCAAGATGATGTTGAAGAAGGCCGAAGACGAGGCAACACACACACACACACACTGCATGAACTTGCTTGCAGGTGGATAAACAACAAACACGCTCCCTACAGAAATCACGACATCGGCCTTCGATATAGCTGTAGGTGCCAGTGGCGGTGATGTGAAGGCAAGACACCCAAGAACCAGCAATAAATATGTGTTCGCCCTTGTCGTACACGTGCTTCTCCAGGGCTGCGCAGAGGGAGCCGAAAACGTCTGAATAGCACTCCTGCAGTAGCTTGAAAATCGGAAGCTCAAGGACGTGGATGCTTCTTTGGCTGACATACAGTTCCAGTTGCAGCGTCGGCGAGATCAACGATGTATCTAAAGACGTGGATGAAAACTTTTCCAGCCGATACTCAACGAAGCGCATGATTCGGGACACCAGCTCGAAAGGCACGTGTTGCTGATTGAGATATTGTCTCACTTCTCGTCGCCGACGGTCCCGAGCTTCGTTCATAGCACGAAGCTCGGCGAGGGTGTCGGAAATTTTCGAAATTCCCATACCCATCGCAGCGAGACAGAAAATTGACACTAGAATGTCAGCACCCCTTTCCAACCCACTCCCTGCGTCCAAGAGCGGGGGCGCTGGTGCATTGATTATCCAGCGCATAGCATGAAGGTACTGGACCCATTCCGGAACGCTGTCGGCTTCTGCGAGTTGGGTCCAGCTCTGGACCTCTTGGCTCTCTTCCAAACCACGTCCGATCGCATACCACATACATGTCAATAGGTGTGCACAGAAAGCCATGGCGATCGCAGTAGTTGTGATGCCTGTGATGACCGTGACCGACTGATGCCCGCTGTTTGCTGCGGTTTCTTCGATAATAGCATTGACCCTCGTCAGCTTCAATATTCGCAAGAGTCGTAAGAGTCTCAGAATCCGCGACACCCGAAACAGCCGAAGTTCTGCCGACAGGCTTGTCTCGGACAGGCCATACCCGACATCAAGAGCTAGCAAAAGCACGTCGAAAAACAGCCAGCCGCGCATGTAGCTCGCAAGAATGGTCGAGTATCCTGTCTTTAAGACTCCTTTGTGGTAGGTGGCGGTGTTCATATTCACAAACAAATCAGCGGTCCAATATGCTAAACTTACCCAGAAGCTGAACCACAAGAAAGAACCGAAAACGTCATCGGAAATCCCCATTTTCACGTTCCAGGCCAAAGCTGGTGGCAGTGTAATGCTGTCACCGACTATCAACACCATGGCACTGATGTCCCAGCAAATCCTGAAAGCACCATACGGGTGGAACGGCTTAATGACTTCACTGTTGGCGAGCTTGGAATGCCTCCCACCGATCATACTCAAGCGCGCATAAGCCTTCTGGCGTGTGTTGGTGGTTGGGCCCTCGACAGCAACACTCTGAGTGGCCATGTCCATCCATCGGCTGTGCAGACGGATCTGGGTGCCGGCATCTGCAGCTTCAGACCGAGATGCTACAGCCCCTGTAGAAGATGCTGAAGCATGCTTTCTTGCAGCCCTCATCTGCCTGTAAGCAAGAATAGCACCAGGCTCTTGCAAAGTGCCGGATGGCACACTTGGAAGCCGTTGGGAAGCTTCTCGCTGCCTCGACGGAACACCTCCTGAAGCTTCCGCTGTCTCCATGACGCTGCGCAAGCCCTTGACCTGCCGGCTTGCAGTTTCCAAGGATTGAAGAGAGCGCTGCAACTCTTCTTCGATGCCAGCGAACTTTTCCCACATCTTGCTGCTGTGCCAAGCAACCATTGCAACAGCAGATGTCCCTGCAAGACCTTCATGCTTGAGCCAGAGTTGATGCGTCAGAGTTGCAGGTTTTGGGCCAGATATACTGAAATATGGATCAACTGACAAGACAATCATAATCCATTTACATGTCGAAGGACCAGCTGCACGACGTGGAGCTAGTCGCAGTGATTCCTGCCTTCGGAACTGAAGCGCCAACTTCACACCAGAGCAATCTTCGCGCACGATTTTCACTCGCGGAAAGAAGACGTCGATCGCGGCAGACAAAGGCCATCAAGTCAAAGCAACCGACTGTGCAAGACATTGTGCACAGCTTCGTTTGCAGAAGCATTTGCTGACATGCTGGCACAAAGGGCTCATGAAGCTGACAACACATCTGTGTCATGAGCACCTTGACATCAACGCACCTGCAAGGCGGTAGCACAGAGCGGCCCGTGCATGACATCACAGGACAGTCCGTGATATAGACTTTCGAAACAATGTGCGATCGAGGACGCCCCCCAGGAAGGAACGGAAAAACACGATCTGTCTGGAAGAAGTGCTTGGGCCGACCTTGCCAACCCGGGCCACATGAGCCCGTGGTAGCGTTCGGAGCTCAAGCCACTCTGTAACAAAAACGGCTTTGCACTTCAGGCAGCAAGCATCCAACACACGGGCCACGGAACCGAACACACCCCGGCCCCGACCCCCACCGCCAGCAGTGAAAGAAAAATCCGCAGGATGAGGCGCGGCCCAAGCTGCCCTCCCTGCTCTTTGAGATTCGTCGCTGGTCACGGTCCTGAGATGCGACTACTGTGACCCTTGCGACATCTTCGCTGGGCACAACTGCATGTGGTCGGCAGTGCGGGGACCGTGCTGCAGTTTGCATTTAAGCCACAGGACCTGAATCTGTGCAACGGCCCTACTGAGCAAAGCAAGATCTCTAGCCTTGGCCTTGGCTAGCTTGAGAATATGCAGCCGGTCCGCCGGCTGCTATGAAGAGTCCCGTTTCTATTGCCACGCAGTTGCAGGAATTATGCAGGAAAGGGTCCGCCGGCCTTTGGAGCAACAGTGATGGACACACATGGCAAGGGAGGTCAAGGGGCTCATGGACTCAGCTGGCTGTTTTACGAAAATTTGGATATTTCTGACAGAAAGCTTCCCACAACTTTGAATTGGCTGCTTGAAAATGAGGACTCCCAGGTACAAGGCCACAGCTAGAAGTGTACCTGCGGTGCCGAGATGGTGCCACTCAACGACGCTGACAAGAAGGAGCAGCTGGATCAAAGCACTCACGCACGCGCTGCGCACTGGGCAGCCAGTGTGCTGCTGTCACTGGCAAGCCACGAGCAAAGAAGGCTCACAGGCGGGAAAGGGCTGCAAGCTCGGCAAGTTGGCGGACAGCATCGCCTCGGGCTGCAGCGGGGCTGCTGCCAGGCGCCACCCAGCGCTGTACTGGCTGCACCGCAACTGAAAACATGCTCCACCAACGCCTCGCCGCACGCACTCGCGTGCCCGCGCACTATGTGTGGGAGGCCCGGGAAGCGGAAGGGCAGTCGTTCCACGGTGGCTGGCCCATACCCCCGCCCCGCACGTTGGAACGCAAGACCGCAGCAGGCTGGACCTCGTCGTGTACGGGGCGCTGAGCAGCCGGGGGCGCAGTACTGCGACCCCACGCTGGTGTCCACACTCACGCGATGAGGGCTCTCGCAGCCATGCGCAGCGGCTGTTGACGGCGACGGCGCCGTTTGGCGGCCACAAACGCTCGTCGTGCTCGGCTCCGAGGTGGGCGGCCGCTGGAATGTGTGGGCTCGCAGCTTTGTGCAGGACCTGTTGCCTCTCAAGGCGCACCGCGCCCCTCCAGCCGTGCGCGCGGCTTTGCTGTCTCAATTAATAGCAGCAGTGACCACTGTCGGTGCCAGGAACCTTTGGAGGGCGGAGCACGCCAACACGCACCAGCTTTGCAGAAAGTTACTGCGAGAAGCGGGCTGGCAAGGTTGCCCCAGCTCCCACGTGGCATGCCCTGTCTGAAGGAGCCCGCTTGCCCCAGGCAAACGACGCGGGGCTGGGAGACTGGCGGCATGGATGGCAGATGGGCGCGACGCGAACCCTCAACACGTACTTCCGCTCCTAAGCCGGACCGCAGGCAGGTGCTTGGCTCGCTGCGATCCCCGCCAACTTTGAGGCGTCGCCTGCGACAGCAACACGTGTGGGCCACCCCATGGCTGCGGCGCAGTTGGCCCGGGCGTGGTGCGCCTCATCCTTTCAGGCAAGCCTGCAATGATTGGCACGGCGGGAGGCGCACATGGATAGGAGTGGCCAGCTGCACTGCACGTCGGGTAGTTCGGGAAGCAGCTGGGGGAGTTTTTTTCCTGTTGTTGATAGGCCAGATGCTCCATGATAGTATGCCATGCTCACGATGTGGTCGAAGCTCCCATCTCTAGTGTATGGCTATAATTAGTTTTGCGAACATGCTCTCTTACGGAGGGCGCGAGCACACCATTTTAGGAACTGCGCATGCACATGTTTGATGAGTGCAATGCAGGATAGAGTCGGTGCAGTTCGCAGTGCACGATTCAAGAAGTCATATGCTTGTCTCTGACTTGCAAGCATGACTCAGTTCGCTTTTACACGGCGAGACTTCGTATGGTATTTGGCTCAAGAACGCGAAAAGGATCCGAGAGCTGTTTGGCAACTTTGGTTTCTTGCGACTGGGAGTGTTTGGGGTTGTGACGACGACACAGAGGCCAACGGCCTCTCCGTGCAGAACATAACATCCCCAAACCCTTAACAGCGAATACCTTGAAAGCTTGTGTTGCCTTGACTCTTTCGAGTCGTGCCAGACTGCTGGGGCCTTCTGGTTTAATCTCGGGTTCGTAGTCTTGAGGATTTGCGGGTAGGAAGGTCAACACGTGTTGCCCGGGCCGGTACTTTCACTTCCGTGATCCTTTGAGCGCCGTGAGTGTGATAATGCAGAGCGATGTGGATGAAGATGCCACTAACCCGTATCATACGCCTCGGAGGGGACAGCGTGCCCTAACGAATATGCCTGATCATTATAGTCCTGTGACAGACACCATGAGTCCAGATCAGAATGCAAGGGCATTGACATCAATAGCCGGTGCTCATAACCAACAGGTTATGAGCCCAAGCGGCTCCGCACAACCAAGCGTGCCTCCGTTCCCCACGGCAGCAGGGCCGTCAGCACAGTTCGGAGGCATTCAGTTCATGCAAGCAACCCGGCTGGAGATCCCGACGTCAATCCTTCAGCAGTTTGCACAGGCAGCTTCGCTGGATGCTTCTATGCTCCATGACCTGAGAGCAGCTGTCATTGAACTGAATGATCGTATGCAGTATAGATCCAACGTTTTGGGATGCATGCGTAACGCTCCACTCTGGATACAATGCCATAGTGGACAACCTGGACAGGCTCCAACAAGGAATGGAGGCCCATAGTCGTACTTTGGCCTTTCTCATGAATGAAAGCCTGTCTTTAAAGCAAGAGATAGAATCCACCGGTGAGCAGCTCAGCACGGACATGCGACAACAGTTTGCAATCGTTCGCGAGCAGTTGAGTGCGGTCCAGATAAAGGCGGAAACGGCCATGATGGGCCCGCAACAATGGCAAGCCCAGGTTGAGGCACACATTGTAACAATTCAAAACAACCTTGAGGCTGGACTCCGGAAGGCCAGTTCTGAGAATGAGACCCTGCGATCTCGTGTTGGTGTGCTTGAACAGGCAAATCAAGAGCGGGAGCGGGAGTGGCAAACTTTTCGGCAGGAGCATCGCGCTTCAGCTGATCAGAAGGGCTGCGACTCAACTGAGGTCCGCACTCAGGTCGATGAACTGTGTGCTACTATGACAGATCATGGGCAGCGCCTCGATGTGATTTCCCGGGATGTTGCAGATCTGCATGCTTCAGTGGCAGAAGTAGAATCATCAGTGTCTCATTTGGAGGGTCACAGCGCGACCATCCGAGAGGAGATCAGGGGTTTACATCAGATTTGCGAGCATTTTGCCGTCTACACAGATGAGGAACCTGTTGTTGGTGATCCGGGGATGGAAGATTATGAAGCAGGGTGGTGGGGTCAGCATAATGATGTAGATGCGATGCCACAGGGTCCGCCGCCTGGCTTCGGGGATCAGCCGGCTTCGACGCCTGCACCCACCGGGGACCACACAGATCCCGCGCAGAATGTGCCACAGGCGGCGCAAACTGCGTTCATGCCAGAATTCAGACCTTCAGGACCAAGTGATCACGGAGGTAGCACGAGCATCCATCACGGTCGGTGGAAGCTACTTCAGGATGTGCCTGCGTTGAGGTTAGGAGCTGGAGAGCCTTGGGAACAAGGTATGAAGCTTCGGACCTGGTTCAAGCAGGTTGAGACTATTGCGGGAACAATTGCCGAATCATTCGGGGTTTATGTGAAGCAGCAGTTTAGGCTAGCAGATGATCGGCACAAGCAAAGGTTGGCAGGTTTGCACCAGTTGGATCCACCACCAAGGGTCCCACAGGAGGACTCGGAGAGTGAAAACCGGCTCGTGCTACTGCTGATCCGTTGTGTGCCCGCTGAGTTGAAGCAGAATGTCCTTGAAAAGGGAGATGAATCAGAACCGATGCGTGCAATTGCACTCCTTGAAGGGGTATTAGAAACATTGCAACCAGGTGGCGCTGCAGAAATGCAGTCGTTACAAGCTTTCGTTCGGAATCTGAGACCTGTTGGCACTGCAAAGGAGGGTCTGAGTGTGCTCCGACGGTGGCGGCTAGCAAGATCTAGGGCCA